AGTGGGGAGGATTCCCGCATCCACACCAAATGTGTGGAAGGGGAATCAGTTCTGTTTTCATTGGCTGGCTGAATTAAAAAAAAAAAAAAAAACAACCATACATGGGCATGAGAGTTTGCATGTACACCAAGGCAATCAACTGTGGTGCAATCTTAACCCTTTCCATTGACCATACGCATATATGCGACCTCATGGAACTGGGTCTTTATCTGTGAGGCTGCATATATGCGTATCTCTCTTTGTGCTGGGAGGGCACCGCACATTGCGCTTCCACCACAGAGATCAGGCTCTCAGTAAGAGCCCCAGGTCTCGTACTAATGATCAGGACCTGGGACTCCCTGTTCTGGGTCACCTGATCGCTATGGTAGCCTCTGATTGGCCATCACAATGATCAGTCACTATGAGCCCACCCCTGTGTTTACTTCCTCTTCTGAATAAAGAGAGAGATACATTATATCTTTCTCTTCTTGCAGCAGAGGAAGATATAAACAAACAAAAGTGTGTTTAAAAAAAAAAAAAAAAAAAAAAAAAGAGGAAAGAAAGATAAAAACAGCTAGATCAAGATTTCATCCAGGTCAGTGCCAGGGTTAGTGTTAGGGTCTAAGTCGGGTGTCGGCAACCCGCAGCTCCGGAGCCGCATGCGGCTCTTTTTCACCTTTCCTGCGGCTCCGGAGCACACTGCCCACCAGGTGACAGGCAATAGGGTCGGCAAGCCGCGGCTCTTTTAATGCAGCTCTTCTATGTGCCGAGCGCCCGCTCCCCTCCCTCCTCCAAACATTGGCTGTCAGGATGTAGGCGGGGCAGCGTGACGAACTCCTCTCCTCTCACAGTCCGCCCTGAAGACCAGAACGGCGCGGGAACACAGCTAGAGGAACGCGCGGAGCAAAGGTAAGTGAATTGACACAGGGGGAATGAATTACTATAGGGGGGATGAATTACTATGGGGGATGAATTACTATATGGGGGATGAATTACTATATGGGGGATGAATTACTATATGGGGGATGAATTACTATAGGGGGGATGAAATACTATAGGGGGGATGAATTACTATATGGGGGATGAATTACTATATGGGGGATGAATTACTATGGGGGATGAATTACTATATGGGGGATGAATTACTATATGGGGGATGAATTACTATAGGGGGGATGAATTACTATAGGGGGGATGAATTACTATAGGGGGGATGAATTGCTATATGGGGGATGAATTACTATGGGGGGATGAATTACTATATGGGGGATGAATTACTATGGGGGATGAATTACTATATGGGGGATGTATTTTCAGTTTTAAAAATGTTTCTCTCAAAATAAATTTCAATCGTGGTTTTGGCGAGATTTGGCTCAGTTGAAAAAAAAGGTTGCCCACCACTGACCTAAGGCTATGATTGTGATTATGACGATACACTGTGGCCCTGGTTAACCCTTTGCTTACTGGGCCCTTAAACCCCCTTCATGACCAGAGCGCTTTTCGCAATATATGCAGTGTCGGATTTGTTTTAAAATGTTGCAATGGTTTTGCGGCTCCCAGTCTTTTTTTTCCCTCTCGGAAACGGGTCCAAGTGGCTCTTTATGTCTTAAAGGTTGCAGACCCCTGGTCTAAGTTGATGGTCAAAGGTCACAGTATGTTTGGGGTACATTTTTTTTTTAAAAAGCATTTTTTAAATTAGTATCAGTGTCAGTATGTTTTAGGTAGGATAAAAAAAAAGCAAAATGTGCACTATTGTATCTGTGCCATACTACGCATACAAACAACAACTAACAAACATACACATATACTATATTGACAAAAGTATTGGGATGCCTGCTTTTACTTGCAAATGAACTTTAATGGCACCCAGTCTTAGTCCGTAGGGTTCAATATTGAGTTGGCCCATACTTTGCAGCTATAACAGTTTCAACTCTTCTGGGAAGGCCTTCCACAAGGTTTAGGAGGGTGTCCATGGGAAGGTTTGACCATTCTTGCAGAAGCACATTTGTGAGATCAGGCACTGATGTCGGGGGAGAAGGTCTGGTTCACAGTCTCCACTCTAATTTGTCCCAAAGGTGTTCTATGGGGTTGAGGTCAGGACTCTGCAGACTAGTCATGTAACTCCACCCCAAACTCGCTCATCTATGTCTTTATGGACCTTGCTTTGTGTACTGGTGCACAGTCATGTTGGAACAGGAAGGGGCCATCCCCAAACTGTTCCCACAAAGTTGGGAGCATGAAATTGCCCAAAATGTCTTGGTATGCTGCTGCCTTAAGAGATCCTTTTACTAGAACTAAGGGGCCAAACCTAACCACTGAAAAACAACCCCACACCATAATCCCCCCTCCACCAGACTTTACACTTGGCACAATGCAGTCAGGCAAGTTCCGTTCTTCTGGCAACCGCCAAACCCAGACACGTCCATCAGATTGTCAGACAGAGAAGTGTGATTCGTCACTCCAGAGAACATGTCTCCACTGCTCTAGAGTCCAGTGGCGGCGTGCTTTACATCACTGCATCCGACACTTTGCATGGAAGGCTTGGATGCAGCTGCTCGGCCATGGAAACCCATTCCATGAAGCTCTCTACACACTGTTGTTGTGCTAATCTGAAGGCCACATGAAGTTTGGAGGTCTTTAGCTATTGACTGCAGTTTCCGACTTCTGCACACTGTGCGCTTCAGCATATGCTGACCCCGCTCTGTCATTTTACGTAGCCTACCACTTGCTGTTGTTCCCAGTTGCTTCCACTTTGTTATAATCCCACTAACAGATGACTGTGGAATATTTAGTAGCAAGGAAATGTTACGGATGGACTTATTGCACAGGTGGCAACCTATCACGGGACCACGCTTGAATTCAGCTCCCGAGAGAAACCTATTCTTTCACAAATTTTTTTAGAAGCAGTCTGCATGCCTAGCTGCCTGATTTTATATGTAATGTATTGTATTTACTGTATATGTAATGTTTGTATTCTGGCAACAGGAATCTCCACTGTAAAAATACATTAATCAGTGGCTGCAGCCACCGGGCATCAAAAGTTTTCCAACATTCCCATTCTAATGATCAATTTCTGTCAAATAAGAGCGGCTACACACAAATTGAAATTCAGATGGTCCCTGCTGATTTGGCTGAATTTCGATCCATCTATGGCCAGCTTTAGCAATAAATAGCTGAAATTTTGATATCCTAAAGTACATAAACCCTGTAAACTAAATGATACGGAGATCACTTATCACTGTGCTTCACACAATTACTGCTTTCACCTTTTATATCTTTTGTCATATCTGGTTCTTTTATCCTGAAGCTTCTTTACAGTCAATTCCTGTCTTTTTTTTCTTAAGGTAGGTTTTCCTGATGGGTATGACTGTGGACAGTGCCTGCATAATGTGTTTTGAAATAGCCACTGTGTGATATGGTGACAGCATAGAGGCACAAACTGGAGATAGCGATAAAGTGTTGTCACCCTACAGCATAACAAGTGCCTTGATGGCAGGATCACTAGGTATTCATTTTGGTGAAATCTGCAGATTAAAAAAATGCTTTTTGAAATGAAATTCACATGGTAAAGATTATATGAGTTACTGGGGCCCAATGACTCCTCTTCTATTAACCGGGGCAATGAAAACAGTTTTATGAGCATGGTCTATACAGATCAGTGGGTTCCTACGGGAATTTTATCTCAACATACCACACTATGGTGTAACCCAAGGTTGCTTGAATTTGCTATGATCCCTGACCCTCATGTCTGGCCAGTGAAGGGCATTAAGTACATTGACCAAATCTGTTCTGGAGGGGAATTATGCACATTTGACAGCCTAAAACAACAATATGGTCTCCCAAATACTTATTTGTTTAGATACTTACAACTTAGACACGCTTTTCGTACTAAATTTCCAATAACACCTGTTGTTTTTTGTGGATGATTTGGAGAGTTTGCTCAGAGATGACACTTTGGGCAAACCACTATCCAATATATACAAGGAATTGCTTCCCTCAGTCCATAAGGGACTTGAGGCACTTAAAAATAAGTGGCTAGTTGATTTTCCGAACCTGGATGATGAAGATTGGGAAGATGTATGGGAATGTTCCTTTCAAAATCTGGTCTCCATTAAAGACAAGCTAATACAGTTTCAAATTCTACACCGTATTTATCTCACCCCTATAAGTCTCCTTAGAATATATTCCTCAGTTCCAGCTAAAAGCTGGAGATGTGGGGCTTCCCCAGCTGATTTCATTCATATTTTTTGGCAGTGTCTACATATTCAGCTTTTCTGGAGATCAGTGGAGGCCTGTATTTTCTCGGTTACCACCATTCAAGTACCATTATCAGTGCATGCATGTCTATTGGGGCTAGTTGACTCTCTGACACACAGTAGGGCTTCCAGAACGTTATTGTTTTATGCTAGAAAAGCCATCGTGTTGAAGCGCAAGTCTCCAAATGCCCCCACCTCTAATTCCTGGAAGAGGATAACTAACTCTACAATTTCATTGTATGAGGCCACCTATCTGTCAAGGGGATGTCCTCATAAATCCCACAAGGTTTGGGATATTTGGGTAGACTCGCCAGACACGAATGAGGAGCAAAATTCTTCCATTTAGCTTGGAAAAATGTAAGTGATATCCCTTAGTGATCTCATGGAGATCTCTGAGGTTATGTTATTAACACTGGTATAAGGGCCCTGGAGTTGTGATCTGTGTTCGCTTCCTAGAAGGTATATTTTTTTTTTTTTGGTGTCTAGGACTGTCTTGAACTTTATTGAGCATACAGTTAACTTGTTACTTTTATTGTTGTTTTTCTTTGTTAATAAGCTTGTACCCTTGTGGTGCTGAGCCTGGGTATGCCCTATAGGCTCTGTTTTGTATACTTCAACACCTTTTAAATTTAAATACAAAGAATTAAAAAACAAAAAAAAAATTATATGAGATTTTAGTGACTAGGTTTACATATACATTAAAAAAAACACAAGATGATTCAACATCAATATGTATGCTATACACATGTGCACTCTATTATTTACCTTTAAGAAAAAGGCTGAGATTATCCGTATCAAGAGCACAAACTGGCTGCCAAGGGCTTGTAAGCATATGAGTTGATGGCAGACCAAACTGACAAACTGGTTCACATCTGGCAACATCGAAAAGCTCCACTGTACTGTTCCAATAATGTAAGAGCACCTATAATACAGTAACGTTAACACGTGTCAGCAAGCACGGCCACATATTGGGGGAGATTTACTAAGACTAGTGCACTCAGAATCTGGAACTCCTATGCATGGTAGCCAATCAGCTTCTAACTTCAGCTTGTTCAGTTAAGCTTTGGCAATAAAACCTGGAAGCGGATTGGTTGTTATGCAGCGCTGCACCAGATTTTGCACTCTCTTTAATAAATAACCTCCATTATGTCTTCAATGCTACTCACATTATATACAGACATTCAGAATTAACATACACATAAACTAGGTCTACTCTGAATTTTGCTTGCAGATTTATTAATCCAAGGGAAATTGATATCTAGTATAATAAATAACTACATTAATGCTTAAAAACGTATTAGTTATTCACAGCTAACAATTAAATGTTTACAGTACAGTATATCTAAATTCAAATCTTTTTTTCCCCCTTTTGAATAGAGAAGGTAAAGGTTTTTTTATTCTCATTTATGTTCCATTGGGGAGATCTTCATTTGCTTCCTGTCCTAAACACACAACCGGAAGTAAGAGAAAATTTCTCCAAAAATGAAGGGAAATCACCCTTTTAATTTAAACAGCTGTCACCTCTACAACGATCCCTATTAGTAGATTTTCCCTCACCTCTAAAATTGGACTTAGGCTGGCCATACATTATACAATTTTCTTGAGAATGTTGCTTTAGATTTACCAAAAACCATATAATATGAGGTCAAACCTAAACAACACTTTCAATTGTATCCAATTAGGCGGGCCCTTACATAGATATTATTATTATACAGGATTTATATAGCTCTAACAGTTTGCTCAGTGCTTTATAATATAACGGGAGACTATACAGCAACAATACAGTTCAATACAAGAGGGTTAGGAGAGCCCTGATCCTGGGAGCTTACAATCTAGGAAGGAGGGGCTAGTGGTACAAAAGGTAGTAACTGTAAGGGATGAACTGGTAGGAGGAGTAGAAGATTCCATTATTAGCTGAGGGCCAAGCTGATGATCAGATGCCTTAACGCAATGGACACAGTCCTCCACTCACTCTGATGGGAATACATTAGACCTTGTTTTCTCCCGTCTTTGCACTCCCTACAACCTCACAAACACCCCCTTTCCCCTCTCTGATCTCAAGCTCATCACCTTCACAGTCTCCTCGTCTTCAAACACCTATCCCTCCAAGTGGCAAACAATTACCTGCAGAAACCTTCACAACTTTAACCCTTCTCTTTTCTACTCTGCTGCAACTGACCACCTCTATGACAGAATCTCTCCCCTGTCCTGCCTTGACCTGACCACTGCTTTCATCCACATTAGACTCACTTGCTCCTCTAACCGCACGAAGCATCAGGCCCCGACCATTACAACCTTGGCAGACTGACAACACCAGAAATCTTAAATAACATAGTCGTGTGCTGGAGCGATTGTGGCGTAAAACCAAATCTCACCAAGCTTTCACCCAATATAAATCTGCTTTCTTAACATACAATTCCTCCCTCCATGCTGCCAAACAAGCCTACTTTGTCAATCTCATCAATAGCTTGTCATCCAGTCCTTGACGTCTCTTCTCTTCTTTTAACTCTCTACTTTCTCCACCTTCACCTTCACCCAGCACCTCACTCACTGCTCACGAGATTGCAAATCATTTCAAAAACACAACTGATGCAATTCGTAGGGGCATCTCTACTGCACAGACATCCATCCCACTTAGCATACCTTATACTGAACCTCCCTCAACACTTTCCTCCTTTGACCTTGCTACTAATGAACAGGTCACTAAAGTTTTATGAGGTGGAAGGAAATTGTCAGCCAAAACGGGGTTGCATTCAATCACATGTAGATGCTGCTCAGGTACTTTGACAGCCAGCAGTGCTGGCTGTAAAAATACAATAGCCACAGTATGAAATTCATTGTTCATTGTTCTGCGTTGTATAGCAAGGATGTAGGGCTCTATTAGTTTTTTTTATTCAGCCTGAACTGGAAAAAAAAAAAAAAACTTAACCCTTGAGGAAGTCATGTGGGGTGGTGATGAAACATGCCAGGATGGAGTCTAGTGATGTTATCACGTTACCTGGACTGTCAGGGTCCTGTCCACGGCAGAGGTTCTGGAAGATCTGGCATTTCTGCCAGTACTCTGCATGGCCACGGAAGGACACATCAGCCTCAGTCTGGTGCCAGATGGCCTTTGTAAGGAGGCTCATCACTTCCTCAAGTTGCTGGATGATCTCTAGCTCTCCGTGCCCTATTTCTGTTTCCTGTGACTTTGACCCGTGATTTCCTGTTACCGACTCTGCCGTACCCCTGATCTGACCTCGGCCTGGCTTACAGATACTCTCTCTCTCTCACACTTCTGTGTATGACCTCGGCTATCCCATCTGACTACGTCTGCTCTGATTCCCACCTGGTACCTGACCTTGGCTTGAACCGACTACCAAGTAAAAATCTAAATCCCGGCAGGGATTGCATACCACGCACAGGCGCCTCCTGTCTGCAGACCAATCTCCGTGCACCAGCTGTGCTTCTGAACGGACCACCAACCAGTACTCCTACAGGCGACCTATGCAACTTTGGGCCTGACTCCCGCTGTCCCACTCTCAGGGGAGTCAGGAACTTAGCCGCAAGGGAAGCCCTCTCTCCATTGGCCTCCATCACCAGGTACGTGATATGGACGTAGCCGCTAGATTTCTTGTTGAGGCGATGCTGAGGTCTCTAATTTAAAGGAGACAATGCACCTACATGTTTTTTTTTTGAACTTTATGGTGGTGAACTGATGATTCCAGTGCTCGATTATGTGAATGGTATTTTTATTCATTTTAATAAACTTCCTATATTTTTTATGAAGTTAAACACTATGTAAATTTTTATTCCCTTTGAGTGGAGTAGACAGTGGATGAATTAAGTATACTGTTGACCCTATTGGTAAGAGCCGAAGAGGTGACCAGGAGGCATCCCGAGGAGGTGTATGAGACCCCTTGAAGGGGAATGCACATGATGATGTATAATTATATAATAGGTCAATACAATGAGGTGAGCGCACGATGGGAATGGTGGTGGAACATACTTGGAGAAATTGTATGAGGAGCAAAAGAAGATACAGCAAATATAATTTTTATATTTTTAAGGACTTTTTTTGATGACTTTTAGTGCATGTCATCTCATGGAATACTGGTGTGCATAATACACAAGATATTATTTGGTGATGACACTTTAATGTTGTTTTTTAATATACAGCATAATCTTGTATATTTTTTTATATAAAGCATATATACATATAGAAGGTAAAGGATATGATTTACTAGAGATATTTGTAAGAGTCACATTGATGGGATTTAAAGAGGGACTTACCGAATGTTACAGCTTGCAGCTTCACAGCCAGGTGCCCGCTGCACATTGTGAATGGTCCCACAGTCTTCACAGGAGGAGAGGCCTAGGCAATCTGAGCTGAAGTGGAAGCAGGTACCTGTCAAATCCAGGTATTCCCCCCCCCCCCCAATAAAGGCCACTAGTTGATGAGGAGTGGGGGAAGAGACCTTAAAGTGGAACTTCCCCTTTAGGTGGTTGGCAAATGTTTCACTGCACTTTTTGGTGAGAAAAAACACAATCGGTGTATGGACAGCTTAACGCAAAAAAAAAAAAGAAGAAATTTTGGCTTTACACACACAAAAGGCTAAAAAAAAAACTGTAAACAGACAGGTTCCCTATTGCAGAAGAGACATGTAATGTTTCTTCTGTAATAAAGTACACTTACCTGCCTGTTCACAATCCTCTGCAAAAAGTACACAGAACTGCGCATGCACAGCTCAGTTTACATTCTGGCATACTGTTCATGTCGGGAAGATTGTACTCCTGCACGGAACTGTTGGACTGTTGGAAAATAGGTGAGTATCCTTGACTTTTGTTCCGCTTTTAAAGTCCAATCCAATGTGCACTAAAAAACACAGCTAGAATAACACTAGTTTCCAAGGCCAATGCATACGTATTTATAACAAAAGTTAAATGTCACAGAACCTCACACAAAAAAAAAAAAAAACAATGTCAGGACAAGCAAGGAAAGCACAGACATATGGAAAGAGACAAAAACATTTCTTAAGAATACTAACTTGACTGAATGTATATAAAATCTTACCATACTTGGAAGGGAGTGGATGGGAGATACTGCACTGATCTGGTTATCAGAGGAGTCAGAACTTTGGAAAAACAATATTAGAGATAAAAAGTGTGTTAATCTGCCAGTAGATGGAAAGGAATCCTATTATCTGTAAATCTGGCCTTTATAATAGCTTGACATTCCACTTTTAGGCCTACAATACATGGGAGATTTGGTGCTTATCAAACAAGCCATACAACTAAAAATCATATTTGATTAGTGGCTGAATCCTGCAGACATTGGCATCTACAGTGGATATAAAAAGTCTACACACCCCTGTTTAAATGTCAGGTTTCTGGGATGTAAAAAAAAAATGAGACAACGATAAATAATTTCAGAACTTTTTCCACCTTTAATGTGACCTATAAACTGTACAACTCAGTTGAACAACAAACTGAAATCTGTTAGGTGGAGGGAAGTAAAAACCTAAAATAATATGGTTGCATAAGTGTGCACACCCTTAAACTAATACTTTGCTGCAGCCCCTTTTGATGTGATTCCAGACTCAGTCTTTTTGGGTATGAGTATCAGCATGGCACATCTTGACTTAACAATATTTGTCCACTCTTACTTGCAAAAACACTCCAAATCTGTCAGATTGCGAGGACATCTCCTGTGTACAGCCCTCTTCAGATCACCCCACATATTTTCGATCGGATTCAGGTCTGGGCTCTGGCTGAGCCATTCCAAAACTTTCATCTTCTTTTGGTGAAGCCACTCCTTTGTTGACTTGGATGTATACTTTGGGTCGTTGTCATGCTGAAAGATGGAAGTTCCTCTTCATGTTCAGCTTTCTAGCAGAAGCCTGAAGGTTTTGTACCAATATTGACTGGTATTTGGAACTGTTCATAATTCCCTCTATGTTGACTAAGGCCCCAGTTCCAGCTGAAGAAAAACAGCCCCAAAGCATGATGCTGCCACCACTATGCTTCACTGGTATGGTGTTCTTTTGGTGAAGTGCAGTGTTGTTTTTTCGACAAACATATCTTTTGGAATTATGGCCAGAAAGTTCAACCTTGGTTTCATCAGACCATAACACATTTTCCCACATGCTTTTGGGAGACTTCAGATGTGTTTTTACAAAATTTAGCCAGGCTTGGATGTTTTCCTTCGTAAGAAAAGGCTTCCATCTTGCCCCTCTACCCCATAGCCCAGACATATGAAGAATACGGGAGATTGTTGTCACATGGACCACACAGCCAGGACTTGCCAGATATTCTTGCAGCTCCTTTAATGTTGCTGTAGGCCTCTTGGCAACATCCCAGACCAGTTTTCTTCTTGTCTTTTCATCAATTTTGGAGGGACGTCCAGTTCTTGGTAATGTCACTGTTGGCCATATTTTCTCCACTTGATGATAACTGTCTTCACTGTGTTCCATGGTATATCTAATGCCTTGGACATTCTTTTGTACTCTTCTCCTGACTGATACCTTTTAAACAGTGAGGTCCCTCTGATACTTGAAGCTCTCTGTGGACCATGGCTTTTGCTGTAGGATGCAACTAAAAAAATGTCAGGAAAGACCTACTAGAACAGCTGAACTTTATTTGGGGTTAATCAGAGGCACTTTAAATGATGGTTGGTGTGTACTGACTCCTATTTAACATGATTTTGAATGTGATTACTTAATTATGAACACAGCTACATCCCCAGTTATAAAAGAGGGTGTGCACACGTATGCAACCACATTATTTTAGATTTTTATGTTTACTACCCCCCCCCCCCCCCAAAAAAAAAAAAAAAGATTTAGGTTTGTTTTTCAACTGAGTTGTACAGTTTATAGGTCACATTGAAGGTGGAAAAAGTTCTGAGATGATTTATCTTTGTCTAATTTTTTACATCACAGAAAATTTTAACAGGAGTGTGTAGACTTTTTATATCCACTGTACCTCTCCCTCATTGTGTATTACTGAACCCGCTAATGATTGTGTGTTTGTGTGCTGTCCTCACAGTCCCTGTTCATACATGACTTGTAGTCAATATCTTCCCGTCTACATTTATGATGCTGTCATGAATTAATCAGCAGTGGAAAATCAATATTTTGTAAAGATCAGCCTTATATAAAATATATGCACACACAGAATCTGGTATTACTTTATAAAAAATGTTGTACACTACCGATTTAATACGTACAATTAGTGCTCTGTTTTTCTGGACAGATTTCAATAAAGATTTCCATCCTCAGTATCTACAGTGGATGTAGTTGCTGGGAAGTGCCTTTCATTGCCTTAAAAGTAGAACTATAGGCAAAACTTTTTGTTCCCATTTTGGATAGCGCAAGAGAGGGTTATAATCCGTTAGAATTTTTTTTTTTTTGCCGTCTGTGTCTCATTTAGGAGAGTTGCCTTCACGTCCTGTCCCATAGCCAAACAGGAAGTGAGAGAAAATCCCTGCGAATTAAGGAAATTCCTTGGGGACCCCCAGGTCACCAGAACTAATGTCCCCATTGGATGATTTCCCCTCTTTTACTTTTCCGTGAAGAACACAAAATTTGGGATTTTTTTTACTTTTACTTTTAATGATAAAGGCAAACATGAGAAATAGAAAGGGTGACTCTCCTTAACAGGGCGCAAACAGCAATAAAAACCTGCCAAGCGTAATTTTTCTGCACTCTATCCAAAACTTAAAAAAAAAACAACAAAAGAAAAGTTATACTTTAAATCTGAGGTTTAACCATTTGAATACCGGGCAATTTTACACCTTCCTGCCCAGGCCATTTTCCAGGTTTCAGCGCTCTCACACTTTGAATGACAATTGCGCAGTCATACAACATTGTACCCAAACTAAAATTTTATCATTTTCTTCACACAACTAGAGCTTTCTTTTGGTGGTATTTAATCACCACCGGGGATTTAATTTTTTGCTAAATTATCAAAAAAAGACCGAACATTTTGAAAAAAAAAAAACACATTTTTCTTTGTTTCTGTTATAAAAGTTTACAAATAAATAATTGTTCTTCATAAATTTAGGCCGAGATGTATTCTGCTACATGTCTTTGGTGAAAATAACCAAAATTAGGATGTATTTTTTATTTTGTAGGAAAGTTATAGAGTTCACAAACTATGGTATAGATCTGAATATTGATCAATCCTGAAGTACTGACAGCCAATCTAATTTCTTGAGGTCCAAGAATGTCAGAACAGTACAGATATCCCCCAAATGACCCCTTTTTGCAGAGTAGACAGTCCGACGTACTTCATAAGAGGCATGGCGAGTTTTGGAAGTTGTATTTTTTTTGTCATAATTTTTCGGAAAATGAAAAAATGCAAAAAATGATTTTCACTATTTTTTTTTTTACATACTGTCACCAGTGCAGAACAACGTCATCATATAACTGGCATGGCAGTGATCAGGGACACTGACTGGTGACAGTATGAAAAAAAAAATATTTTTTTTTCATATTTCACTATGTCCAAAGTAGTACATTGTTACCATAGTAACATTGTACTACTTTGGGGAAGTGATCAGTATTTTTTTTTTTTTTTTTTTTTTTACACAATTTGCTTATAGCAAAGAATTACTTTGCCATAAGCAAGCATTTACCTGAATGACATTGATTCATTCAGGATTGTTTTTGTGCTTAGCTGTGATTTGGCCACGGCTAATCACATGACATGTGCATGTGATTAGCTGTGACCATTCACAGCTAGGCAGTAGTATACAATGGATGGCATGAATGAAGCCATCCATTGTATACAACTGTCATGTGACCTGCTGTGATTGGCCACAGCAGGTCACATGGTACCGGCAACGGGGCCGATACTCAGATCTGTCATCGGCCGTGTCTGAGGTACACGGCCGGTGACCGATCGCGCCGCTGCGCGGCTCTGCAAGCGCGAAAAGTGCGCACGTGTGGGAGGATGCCATTTGGCGTCCAACTCGGAAATGCAATACATTTTTCCAGCTGCCTTTTGGCTATTGGCCAGGCGTGTATTGGTTAATATACTTTTATTTTGACCTTCCTGGTTCCTCTCTTTCCGTCATCAACATGTCAAAGACATTTTTAAATAAAACCTTTCCTTTTCATCACATACCTTATTTTAGATTCAATAACATAATCACTGGGTATCTGTACTTTTTCATGCAATGCAAGCAGGTCTTGGCTGGTAGGAGGGGCCAGCAGAGCGCTGTACATAGCTTCCTGCAAACATCACAGCACACTGCCTTGTACTTTTCTCAAAAGCCCAAAGCCCTGATGCAAGCAATGGACTGGCTCTTGGGAGGTGTCAAATGTCAAAATGCCTTGATGGGTTGGCATGGATAAGCAAACTGTACATGCCTGCCTGGGTAATGCCCTCATGTGGTTTTGAGCCTCCGCCCTCCATGATTGCAACACTGAAATTTAATGAATGAAAGGGGCAGGCCAGTGACAGTCAGGACAGGAGGGAGAGAGCTAGACGAGACTGTGTCTCTACTGAGAAATATAACATTCTTCATTTGAAACTTGATCAGGAATAGAGAAGTTTTGCTTTTAGATATATTGTAATATAAAGTGTGGGTTGATTACCACCTGGTGATAATCATTTACACTGCCATAAGAAGTAAAAGCAGGGCCAGGCAAAGTCTATGGACTTCCTGTCCACTGATTACCCACTTCAAGTGTTGACACTTTCACCCCCTCCCTGTCCAGGCCAATTTTCAGCTTTTAGTGCTATCACGCTTTTAATGACAATTGCGCAGTCATGCAACACTGTACCCATATAAATTTTTAGCATTTTTTTGAGACAGATAAAAAACTTTATTTTGGTGGTATTTATTCACCACTGGGATTTTTATTTTTTGCCTATATAAATGAAAAAGTCCAAACATTTTGAAAAAAAAAGTGTTTTTCTTATAAAATTTAGCAAATAAATAATCTTTCTTCATAAATCTTGGCCAAAATGTATTCATCTATTGTTTTAGTAGTAAAAAAAAAAAAATAACCCAAATTAGTTTATAACCAAAAATTATAATTTTTCAAAAATTTAACATTTTTATTTTTTTATATTATTATTTATGTTTTTTTGTTGTTGTTAACATACTGTCACCCTAGCAGTACAGTGTCATCATAGTGACAATGTACTACTTGTGGGGGATGATGAAGATTTTTTTCTTTTTTACATTGCTTTTTTATAGGCTCTAAAAGCAATCATTTCTCCTTCTCTCTGTCTGCATTCTTGCAGCCATTAAGAAATATTGTGAGAGCTGTGATTGGGCACAGCTTGTCACATGGTACAAGGCTGTTGTGAATAGTCTTGTACCATGTGACCTCATTCACAGATTTCACTAGAAGTAAGCAATGATGTCAGAAGTGACATCTTGCTTACTACTATTCATGTTGTTACTGATTGGCCAATCAGTGATCACATGATCGGGACCTCACACAGAGGTCCTGTACAGCGATCGGTGTTCCGCTGTGTCCGGAGGACACAGTGGGCACTGGATCGCGGTGCCGCAAGCTCCTAGGGAGTTCGCACAGGCAGGGAAGCGGGAGGACATTTATAAACAGCCACCTGTTCCTGCACTGGTCGTTTACATACGTGAGCCGGACGGGAAGTGGTTAAATAAGCAAAAACTGTCAGGGCAGGAGCTGTGGAACGGACAGGCAGGCCTAGTGGCAGGGTCACGCACTGACTGACAACAACCACCACCCACAGACAGGAATCCCTCAGGGCGCGGAGTTTAAGTCCCAGGCTGCCCTTCACCAGGGCCCCTGATGGTGGGGATGGACTTGACGCAGCCAGGAACCAGGTCGCGGCCCCCGAGACACCCAGCTGCGGTAATGGCCGCCGCCAATGGCGTGTAGCTGGTAGGAACCAGATCAGACAATAGCGTAGTCAGGCAGGCCGGGTCGACAACAACGGGACAAACGGTACAGAACAGTAGACAAGAATAACAGGTCACAGGCCGGGTTCAGCAACGGGAGGTCAGATCAAAGGAAAACGCAGAGAATGGTCTAGTCAAAAGTCGAGTCAGATTCCAGGAGAGTCACGAGAGTATAAACAGAGCTGTTGCAACACTAACACACAAGACACGAATGCAAAGAGCAAGTGCGGACAACAGGCTTATATGTGATCAACCCCTCTGGGGGATGGACCGCAGAGGCCTGAAGGCATAAAAAGACTCCCACCGTGTTCTTTGCAGAAACCCAAGATGGATGCCAGCACATGGAGCAGCATAACCTCTGGGAAAAGGTAGGACCTTGACAGTGATTCCTCCTCAAGGGCCCCTCCCCTTCTGCGGCTCAACAAAAGGCTTCTGAAGAAAGCGAGCATGAAAAGCGCAGAGGAGGGCAGGAGCATGAACATCCGCAGAAGGAACCCAGGAACGCTCCTCGGGACCATAACAGCGCCAATGAACCAGGAACTGCACCCGAACGCGCACCAATCGAGAGTCCAGGATCCGGCTCACGTCATACTCCTCATGACCTTCAACCTGGATGGGAGGGGGCCGAGGCAGAGAGGTAGTGAAGCGATTGCAGACCAGAGGCTTCAACAGGGATACATGGAAGACATTGGAGATCCGCATCCCAGGAGGAAGGGCAGCCTGGGACTTAGACTCCCCGCCCCGAGGGACTCCGGTCTGTGGGTGGTGGTTGTCGTCAATGCGTGACCCTGCCACTACGCCTGCCTGTCCGTTCCACAGATCCTGCCCTGACACAAACTCTCTCTAATATACCATGGTACCAGCACTAAAGGACACTTGACATACTAAGGTCTCATGTACATGGATGCGTTGCAAGCGTACAATGCAATATTTTGTCTTTTCCCGCACCTAGGAAACCCAAGTGTTGTGTACAGCTGCCTATTGAATAGACCGGCTGTGTGAGGGTATATTCCAGTACTCCCATAAATTTGTGTATAGTGTACGAATGTATTCTCCAAACGCAGAAAGTCTGTGCTTGGGGAATACATCTGTACACTATACGCTTGTGTGTGTGAGTACCAGCATTTACCCGCACATAGCCGTTCATGTCTATGGGCAAAATGTACACGACACCTGGGTTCTACGACACAGAAAACATACAGAATTTTATGTTGTATGCACTTAATGTGCCTGTGGGCATGCGGCCTTAAACTCGTTGCAAACATTCTCATATACCCAGTGAAGTGACTGGCCTCAGGTGCTACACAAAGATAAAACAAATCATCCTACATAAGTTGTACCTGTTTATCTGCAGACATATTTTCTCTACAGAAATTCAAAGTACAGTATTTTTTACTATTTGTCTGAGCCTTCAAAAAGCAGGGGGTAGGGAGCTGAAGTTACACTCTGCAGATCTCAGTGAGAAGAGCTCTGATAGCTGTTTAAAGAGAAGGGACACCCTCCCTCCCCTTCCCTTTCACACAGCTCACAAAAACAGAGTGGAGGCTGTCCATCACAGGCTGTGTGCTAGAGATCCCTCCCCATCACCTATTTTCTCTTGGTGTCAGGAAAACTTGTCAGAAGCAACTCAAACAGATAAGAGGAATGAGGCAGCAGACAGAAAGGACACTTAATGTTCTGGATTGAGACAAGTAGACACTATAGAGGGATATGCTTTCTCCATATTTCATGTCTGTGGTTTGCAACCACATTAAAGACCATGTTATGGTGAACGTATTTGATGAAACTAATACTGAGAAAAATGTGGGCTGATCTACGTTGTCAATACTAACCGTGTCACTGACTAGGATCAAGCATGCAGCAAAATCTTCTAAACTTGTTTTATACAGTGAATTGAAGACAGGAGGTCAGCATGAAAAAGGTCAGTTTTATATGGATCCTGCAAAAGACCCCAATCTGGATTGTAAGCAATGGCAGGTCAGATGGGAAAAACTGATGGACACCTGGAAAAATATATAGATCATACAGAGGCCTCACCTTTCTCGAAGCAGAACCGTGCTGTGTTCCCTGCCCCCTGCCGCAGTGACGAGGTATAGAGATTTATCAGTACACCACACCAAGATCTGGGCTCTAGAGACAGCAGGAGGTTCTTTACTGGAAGCATTGTGTTCTAAAAAATAAAGGCTACCTATATGCCGTCCCTCTGGGAGAGCAACAACAGCCAATAGAAAACCTGGGAAACAAGAATTTTCAGTATTAGTCTACAAGTAAATCAGTTAATGCAACCAAGTTGATGCAACCAACTTTGAAACTATAAGTATAACTCTTACCAGAGTACTTCATGTCCCATACTGCAAGTGTTTCATTTTCAAGGGAAAGCGCTAGGTATGAGGTGCAAGAGCTGACTGCTGAGAATTTAATAGGAGCAGCACATGGCCACACGATATCAGCTTTTGGGTCAACATCTAAAAGGAAAAAGGTAATTGTTAGCAAATATGACTAATAAGTGTATTGTAAGGAATCTGTGCTGTGATAACACGTTTGGCAGGTGGCAAAAGAAAGTTTGATATACCCAAATCTAATGACGTACAATTTCAGAAAGGATGCAGCTCCAGTGAATGTAACAAAATCATATAAAAAATAAAACACTGTTCAATGGGCCAAACGTGAAGTCGCTCTTAAATCAAAGTCCACCTTCCACCATCCTGTAGATCAGTGGTTCTCAACCTTCCTAATGCCGCGACCCTTTAATACAGTTCCTCATGTTGTGGTGACCCCCAACCAGGGGGCAATAGGGGATCATGGGGCCCCTGTGTCCTTGCCCAAACTCAAAAAAGCCTATGAAAAAGGTACCAGGGGCATCTCATGGGGCCCCCCACTGACCCTGGGCCCTCGGGCAGTGCCCGAGTTTCCAAATGGTCAGTCCGCCCCTTCCTTCAACCATAAAATTATTTACTCAGTAATTATAATTCATGAAGTGTCGTTTTACCTCCAATACTGCTGCTTTCTACACAGTAGCTGCTTTTAACAGAGTAGCTGCTTTCAACACAGCAGCTGCTTTCTACACAGTAGCTGCTCTTACACATTGGAAATATGTGTTTTCCGATGGTCTTAGGTGACCCCTGTGAAAGGGTTGTTCGACCCCCAAAGGGGTCGCGACCCACAGGTTGAGAACCACTGCTGTAGATCCTTGTAGTGTAATGAAAACAGAGTACCTTAATCAAATGCACACTCGTTAGACCACAAGCTGTAATAAGTACAGCACACAGCATGTTTCTCAGGCACAAATCCTCCCCAGATATATGCATTTCCATTCAGGAATCACTCCCCCTCAACCACAGTAAAAGTCAACTCTCACTGAAAGAGAAGGAGGCAACGGAAAGCCAGTGATTGTGTAGTAGTTTAAATAAAAGTTTATTGTAGAACAGAGGCAGTCATCCACATAAAACAACGCGACAACAAAAAAAAAATTGTAAAAACTCATATAGGGAGCTGATGATGACCTGGAATTGTACAGCACTAAGCTGTTACGCCACTGTATGATTCCGTCATCAGCAGCTAAGTGAGTTTTTACGTTTTTTCATTGTCACATTGTTTTAAATGAATGACTGTCTCTGTTCTACAATAAACACTTAACCACTTGCCTACCGGGCACTTATACCCCCTTCTCTACCGGGCCAATTTTCAGCTTTCAGCGCTGTCGCACTTTCATTGACAATTGCACGGTCATGCAAGATTGTACCCATATGAAATTTTTATCATTTTTTTCCTCACAAATAGAGATTTCTTTTGGTGGTATTTAATAGCCGCTGGGCGCTTTACTTTTTGTGCTATAAACAAAAAAAGTGTAAAAATTTAGAAAAAAAAAAAAAAAAGTTTCTTTGTTTCTATTATAAAATTTTTCAGCAGCACTGATGGGCACTGATAGGGGGCACTGATAGGCAGCACTGAGGTGGCACGGATAGGCGGCACTGATAGGCAGCACTAATGAGGTGGCACAGATAGGCGGCACTGATAGGCAGCACTAATGAGGTGTCACGGATAGGCGGCACTGATAGACAGCACTGATAGGTGGCACTGATAGACAGCACTGATAGGTGGCACTGACTGGCATCACTGATGGGCACTGACTGGCGGCACTGCTAGGCATTGACTAGCACAACTGCTGGGCACTGACTGGCACAACCGCTGGGCACTGACTGGTGGCACTGACTGGCAGCACTGCTGGGCTGCACTGGTGGGCACAGGTGGGTGGCACTGGTGGGCACAGGTAGGTGGCACTGGTGGGCACAGGTAGGTGGCACTGCTGGGCACAGGTGGGTGGCACTACTGGGTGGCACAGGTGGGCGGCACTGCTGGGCACCGATCATCAGGGTAATGATCATCAGTGCCCTGATGATCGGTGCCGATCCCTGCTCTGACAACTGCCGGTTCTCGGCAGTACTTGCCTCACACTCTGACAGCATGAGGAAAGAGCAGCCGAGAACCGGCAATTGCATTTCCCGGTGATCAGCGTGTCATTGGACACGGCTGATCACGTGGTAAAAGGCCGCTGTGATTGGCCTTTTACCACATCACATGATCAGCTGTGTCCGTAGGATACAGCGATCACGGAAATCACCGGGTTCGCGCCCCCAGGGGCGTGCAGGAGAGCGCGTTCTGGGAGGACGTCATATGATGCCCTCCCAGAACGCAGTGTAGCTGTCATTCGGCTATCTGCGGTCAGCAAGTAGTTAAACTACTACACTATCACTGCTTTCTGTTGGCTCCTTGGTGAGCTCTGTCCATTCCAGTGAGAGTTGCCTTTTGCTGTCGAAGGCTATGTTCACACTAGCCTTGTTAGCAAGCGGCAGTCTGGCGTTTGGGAAGCGTTTTTACAGTTTTCCGAACATCTCGAAAAAATTCTGCACATTGCAGCACATAGTGCTGTTCAAAGGGGAGCGTTAGCGTTGCGTCGTGGAAAAATGGATGCCTCTGGTTCGAGTCAGGAGGAGTTGAAGCTTCCTATTCAAGTCTATGGTGTCGCTCCGCAAAGCCCGGCCGGCGTTTGCGGTGCAATTGTGACGTGGTTGCAAGACGTTTGTGGAGCGTTAACACCATTCAAACTTCATTATAGGCGTTTGTGGGGCGTTTTTAATGCTTGGCAAACGCCTAGCAACCGCCGCTAAACCGCGCAAGCGGTGTTTTTGAAGCATGTGCGGAGCGTTAAAAACGCTCCGCAAACGCCAGACCAACGCTTGTCAAACGCTTTAGGGGCGTTTGGCAAGAGTTGGAAAAAAAGTCAAGCGTGAACGAGCCCTAAGAGGAATGATTCCTGAGTGGAAGTGCATACACCTGGGGAAGATTTGTGCCCAAGAAACATGCCGTGTCTGCTGCACTTATTACAGCTTATGGTCTGGTAAATGTGCATTTAATTAAGGTGGTGGCACTTGGTGTTTTCATTACACTACAAGAATCTACTGGATTGTGGAAGATCTTTTTTATATTAGTATATATGGACGTTGATATAAGAAAGACTTCACATTTGGCATATTGAATAACTTATTGGGTTCATGGGATGAAGGGGACTGCATAAATTTAAATGAATTAAGCAAAGGTATACAGCTTTAAGTAGGCAGAGAAAATTGAACTTGATTTCAACTGGTTGATAATGTCTACAATTCAATGTCTGGATAAAAAAACCGTAGTTTCCTAGTAAACTAATGTCTTTCTCTTCTTGATTGTGTAAGTGTACAGGAATGAAATTACTTTTCTCTGTGGACTTTCCAGGCTTACTTTCCAGTATAGATTCCAGAGTTTATCTACACAGGTGTTCTTTAAGGTAGAGCTCCTGCTTGTTTGAACCAAGACTTGATGGTTAAAATTCTCTTAGCATCTTTAATGACTGTCCCTCTAGGAGGATCGTTCTGGAGCTACACCAGAAATGCTCAACTAAATTGTAGTCCTAAAAAATGCCAGGGAATTTATTTTTAAGCTTGTTGGCAAAACCATTTTATAAAGAGGACCATCACTCCCTTTTTCTTCCCTAAAGCTGAACTCTAAAATTTGAAACTATCCCTTGCAATGAAGCTGCGCCGCACTGCAAGGATTAACTGCTCATTTTATCTAGCAAAGAGAAGCATTTTTACTAACTTGAGGCTCTGTTCCCCTGGCAGACAGTACTCTCCAAGTCTCCAGCAGTGGAATGTCCCTCACCATCATCATGTCCACTGCAAGACTATGGACACTGTGTTGGTCTTGATGGTGTCAGAATCTTAGACTACAGGAGCATGGGGAAGAAAAAGCTGTGGCTACCGGTCTGGCAGCACAGAGGAGTGGAGGATAAACTAAGTAAATAGTTTCTTATGTTTTCTCTGACCTAAACTAGCAATTAGCCCTTTAAAGGTTTACTGGAGTTGGGCATTAACTAATATTGTTTCATGTTCCCTCCTTTTAAAAAATTGCCAATTCCAAATTTTTTTGGGTGGGTGAATACCTTTTTTCGTGAGTGCAGTCCACATTTCCACCTTTCTCACCAAGGTGAGAAAGAACCTTCTAGATTGCCTGAAGGCTCCTGGCTTTCTCATGTTTTGCATCCCAGGAAGCTTTGGAGCAATCTCTTAACACACTGTGCATGTGCAGTGATGGGGGCCACAGGGGTCCAGCAGCTAGAATCTCGACAAAACAGCCAGCCCTTTGATTTTGTAAGTAAAGATGGCAGCGTAGGCCCAAACATGCAGTGCCCTTCGTTTGGTTACAGAAGACAAAAAAAAATAATGGTGGAGGGAGAAATGAAGTTCCTCTTAATAATTCCACTGAGATGGTTAGAAGAAATAGTGCTCACATTTGTACAGTCATTGTGGAAGTATAAAACACAGAAATTACATTTCAGATATGAAAGAATGTTGGTTGCTTGAATCACCCATTGGTTTCTTTTACCTTATAACGACCCTGTTGAAATCTCCTTCATAGTTCCTGTTTCTGCCTTTGAACCTCACTTTTCTTGTTGGGGAACAAGTACAGAGATCAAAGCCATGATGGGCAGGCATGGTGAAAGATTCAGATCTCACCCACATGGATATAGGTTATGAAATTACAGATATATATAGCTGGTGGTGGATTCATTCGGTTTGTGTTGGTCCATATGAAATATCACTTTTGCCTAAACCAAATCTTTGAAATGGCAAGCCAAGTACATTGGTGTTCCATTCTTTTTTTACAGTTCCATCTGTCTGAGTGTTTGAACTTCCCACAAATTTCTAATCCTCTCCTACTTAAAGCTGAAGTTTGATCTGCTAATATTTTTCCATTTTGCCTACCCTGGTACCTCCTTCCCTCAAGATGTTAATTGTTTTCTTTTTTCGAGCCCTCAGTGTGCTACACAAAACCCCCCGAAAAAAACATCAAAGTGAACCAAAAAGTGCATGTGAACACACAAAAAGTGCACTAGGGTGTTTCAAAAGGTCCCCTTCCAAAAAGGAAATAC